GCAATTTGTTGCGGTATAACAAGGAAATAAAACAGCTAGTAAACTGTATGACGTATGTAACTGTTTAAACTCTAAGTAGGTCATAATTACTTTCATATAAATTCATTTTGACGTTGGTGTGCCCCAATTGATCTCCAAAGGCTTGCTTTATAAGTTCCACAATGCAGTCCAAAATTTGAAAGAATTCTTGTTACAGTACTCAAATCTCTTTCATTTTTTATAAAATTCGAAAATTTTTGTATGATATCAGTGCTATTTACTTGTACATCAATATCTTGAAATAAGGGAGCAATGGAAGATTCGGATGTCAATGTCATTCACAGAACCAACTATAGGATCGTCTATGGGCTCATTGTCATCGTTAACCTGCAGAACAACAACAGGATTTTCAACTTGTGTTGAATTTGATAAAATTTTCTTGCTTGAATTTGATAAAATTTCTTGTTTGAAACTCCTGTTTCTTCTTCTTTGCAAACAAGCACTGTCACATTCAGTTATTTTAGAGTCTAGTACTCCATATCTACCTAGCAAGTTGCACGATGGAACAGCGGTTCGTTTTAACTTCCTTCTTTTTGAGGCAATATCTTTAAATCAATATATAAATTAATTTCCGCATAATACTCTGTATTAATTATACTTCAACGATCATGTAACACAGAGATTAAGTGTCATCTAACCTTACCTCTGATGCCTGAATATTGGCTTACCTGGGAACATATAATCCTTTCGTTTGAAATGTAGCGAACACACTCTTTTCTTACGGGTGATATTCTGTATTTTTAAAGCATGCATCCATGCTTTTATTTTATCACATTTTTCCAAGTTTCCAAAAATATTCTTTACATATTACACATGTTCATTAGCTCTTGGAAAACTATGAAAACGGAGCATTAAATTCTTATTAGAGTTGCTTCGACATTCGTGAACCGAGCAATATTCCGAGGATATTTGACTTTCAATCGCGGTGAAAATGTTGTTCCTTTATCGGAAACTTAATTTATTTCAGAAAATTTGATTTGTTTATCGATCAGTTCTCACAGTTCACGGATACTGATTGCAGGGTATACGATAGTTTTTTTTTCTGTCATCAGATGTCATGGTGAATATCTCAGTGCCCAATAAGCAAAAATGTGTTGTGTAGTCATGGTACATAATAAAATATAATAAAGTAAAATCTAATCAATATGTAAAATAGAGATTGGCGTGTAAGCAATTGCGATAGAGATGATCGTTACTGTCTAAAATATACTATTGTAAAATGAGAGCCATCTAAGAGTCAAACTAAAAGAGAGAAATATTATCGAAAGGATAAAATTAGGAGTGGGAAAAAGGGAGAAAGAAACTAGGAAGGAGAAAGAGATTGTATAATATGAAAATAGGATTCCGTGTCATTTTGCCTATTTAAGCTCTGTTTCTGTCTTTTAATATGAACCATTTCTGAAATTAGTTGTTTGTTATACGATGGTTCACTACCTAAAATTTTGACGCTATTCAAATTCATGATTAAAATTAATCCGATAGTCAGAAATAACTGAAGGAGATTCTGTTTTTTTATTTATGTCTGACATATGTTCATTTAATCTAGTTTTTAATTTTCTTTTGGTCTGACCAACATAACTTGCCTCACAATTCTCACAAGAGATTTTATACACAACTTCTTGGTGGAAGTGTAAGTCGAGATGGTCCTTACCCCTTTTTGTAATTTTTTAAGGTGTTAGGAATGGAATAGAATAATTTACAACCAAGTTTGAGAGTTATAGTTGAGAGCTAAATTTTTTAAAGACAGACTTAACGGTACAGTAAAATATTTATCTTTGAATTTGTCTTTTTTGTGTGAATGAAAATTATTATCTGTTTTATTTTTATTGTGAATATGGTAATTAATTCTTTTTTGTATGGTGGAAAAAATGAAGTTAAGAGGATAGCCATTATCTAAAAAAGTGTGAATAGCATCAATAAATTTCCTTTGTTGAAATTTAGGGTGAGATAATAATACAATTCTATCAACTGTGCCATAAATAACTCCTCTCTTATAACACAAAGGATGATGGGAATGGAAATTAAAAAATCTACCTAAAAAGGTTGATTTTTGATACCTATCAAAAATGATTTTATTTTCGTCGACAATAACAGTAGTGTCCAAAAAATTCAATCTCCCATTATCTCCAAATTCTATAGTAAATTTTAGTATGTATCGAATTAAAAGTGTTAAGAATGTCATTCACAAAGTGTTAGAAGGAGCTGCTAATATAATGTCATCTACATATCTAAAGTAGAAAGAAAGTTGTGTAGGTAATCTATCAATAGCTAATGATTCTAGATCTTGTAAAATTATTTCAGCTATAATAGGGGATATTGGAGAACCCATGGGGATGCCAAAAATTTGTTTGTTGAAATTGCCATTAAAAGAAAAATAAGTTTAGTTTAAAACAAAATGTAATGTAATTATTAGGTATGGGAATAAGTTTCCGCCCATTAGAGAGATGTCGTTAGTAGCACTGCTTGTGTGTTTGATAAAACGGCAATACATGTATTTGAAAGGTGTGTGTTCAAGCTTTTGAACCCAGTAGTTGATATTCGTTCGAAGCGATTTGTTTGAATTAAGCTTTGAAACAAAAACAATAGGAATGGGACAATAGGCACGATAAGCTGATTCTGCTACGTGACAACGCTATGTCACACGTTGCAAAACCGGACAAGAAATACTTGGAAGGAGTGAAGTGGGAAATTCTGCCCCACCCGCCGTATTCACCGGACATTGCTCCTTCAGATTTCCATTTGTTCCGGTCCGTGCTGTCGGCCCTTCCTGGAGAGCGATTCAATTCTTATGAAGATATCAAAAAATGGTTTGATAAATGGATCGCTTCAAAAGAACCAAATTTCTTCCTTCGAGGAATCTGTTTATTACCTGAAAGGTGGGGGAAAGTTGTCGCTTCTGATGGAGCATACTTTGAATGAACTTACTTTGTATTGTGTTGTTTAAATAAATACATCTTTTTCATTTAAAAAGGGCGGAAACTTATTCTCATACCCAATAAAAAGTCGTCTAAAGGTATTTTTGTATTACAAGTTATGATGGTTAAGAAAAAATGGTCCCATCTTTTTTTAATAGTCTCAGATGCTAGTTCTATGGGAATATTAGACACTACATTTAAAGAAGCCAACATATTGTCAGGCTTAACATAAGTCCCATTCAATTTGTTGATAAAATAGAAACTATTTTTTACCTGGCTAGATGCTTTAGATAATTAATATTAAATAATTATATAATTAATAATATTGTGTAAGAATAATGACAAATAATATAATGGGCTATTGACAGACGAAACAAAAATTCTTAGCGGATTGCCAGGCTTATGAATTTTGGTTAATCCAAACGCTCTGGGTATATTACCATCATATGTGTTTTAAATTTTAATTAATGTATATATTTCCTTGATGTACGTAATATTTTATTTGGAATTAAAAATCTGTTTTATCGACATCGATTAAGTTCGGCCGTCGCTCCAGCGTCCCCTTACAAAGGTCTATTTATTGATCATATCCGTTTGACATTGGATGGCGTTGCCAAAGTCAAGACGAGGCTACTTTGAATTTTTTAAATAGGACTCTTGATTTTATTGCATATTATTATAGCTCTTCCTACGACCTTTCCAAAACACTATAATCTAATACATTTTGGATCAGCCGTTTTTAAGTATCGAGATTTATAAGGTAAGTTATCCAGCCAACGAAGATCGGTGGTTGAGCCAGGTAGTGAAGGCAAAATCGAGGGATGATCTTGAACTTCTTGCAATTTTGGGCATGATTTATTTCAATCCACACGTCAGTGGATAAATAGAACATGAATTTGGAATCCCTCGATCTACAGCTTATCGAATATTACAATTCGCACAGTACCATCCTTATTACTTCAATCTGGTACAGGAATTAAGCGAAGGTGATTGCAGACGGAGAGTTCAATTTTGTAGGTGGGCATTTGATGCATTGGAGTAGAATCCAAATTTCTTTTGGAATGTTTCAGTGGCGAAGCTACATTTCATAGCAATGGTAGTCTCAATAGACACAATAGTCATTTACTGATCACCAGTAAATTTTCACTAGTATCGACAGGTGGTCAATCAGTATCATTGGAACCTCCACGTTTGGATTGCCATATGTAATGATCAAATTATTGGGCTGCATTTTTTTAAACGTACAGTTAATGATCCTCTACTGAGATTTTCTCCAAAATCATTTACCAGGATATCTTCAGGACATTCCACTGGATGTTCTCTAAATATTTTGGTTTTAATAAAATGTTTGAACACATCCAAATTATTGGATAGGTCTGGGAAGATCAGTCTTGTGGTCTCCAAGATCACCGGATCTAAATCCTCATAGATTACTATGGGAATATATGAAAGATGCTGTGTATCAGGAAGCAACCACGAGATATGATGGAAAGAGTCAGAAAAAACTCAAGCGATAACGCCGCAAATACTCAGAGGAGTCTTGCAAAATTTTAGACGCAGACTGGTTTTGTGCTTGGAAAATAACAATACACACTTTGAACATTTAATTCCGAGAGTGATACGTAATGACAATTAAACAAAGTTCCTTAATCCTCCTATCTTACTTTCATTAATCGGAACATTCTTCGATCTTGCCTTAGTTGAGCGGATCATCCCTCGATCTTGCCTTCATTAGCTGGATCAACCATCGATCTTTGGGTGGACATCTTACCATATAAATTTCGATAACTTTCAAAACGGCTGACCTAAAGTGAATTAAGTTATAGTGTTTTAGAAAAGTCTCAGGAAGGGCATATAATAATATGCAATAAAATTTAGGGGGTTTTATTTAAAAAATTTAAAGTGAGCTCGTCCTGATCTTGCTAACGCCACCCAATGTCGAATAAGTATAATTATTAGATAAATCTTTTTAAACCCACAACTTTTGTCTGAAACATTTTTCCGTATCTTTTATAATTTTCCAGATATTTGAATGTCAAAGTTTAAATGGGACACCTTGTATATTTAATGACTTTAATGTTATCTTTACTATGATTTTGTATTTTATTTGAATACAAGTCGGCTATCTTTAGAAATACTTTTTAATCAAAATCCTTCAGATTTTATTATTTAACATTTGCATTGGATAATAATAATTTTGAATAATGAAAACTTAATATTTTCTAATATTTGTATTAGCAATGTGAAATTATTTTAAAAAGCTCAGAACGTGTATATGATTGTCACTTAGATAACGTCGACTCCTTGAAATACGCAACTAGCATATAAATTGAATAATCTTAAAAACATCGTTTTGTTTTGTTTTATATATAGAGGACTGCTGTATGTCCGCCTCCACCACCTATGCCCGAAATGGGTAGCGAACTACCGCCGCCGCCACCTCCTCTTCCTGGCGGTAGTGGTCCACCTCCACCACCACCTATGTCTGGAACGACGTGTCCACCTCCTCCGCCTATGCCTGGTTTAAAAGGACCTCTACCTCCACCTATGTCTGGAATAAGAGGACCTCCACCACCACCTATGCCAGGAATGGGTCCTCTACTACCATCGATAATGGGGGCATTATCTCCATCGTCTGCAGTGATACAAGTTTTGCCTCATGGATTAAAACCGAAAAAGAAGTGGGAAGTAGATGGACCATTGAAAAGAGCAAATTGGAAAGCGGTATGTGTATAATGTACTTATATTAATCAAATAAATTATTATCGGTATAGAAGATATAATGATTTTAATAATATAATATATTATAGGACCGTACATGTGATAACACAAACTATAGAATCGAAGCCTTACACGGTCTAGCTGGATCTTAATGCTTGTATGATTCTTATGTGAATTTATATACTACGTATGTAGTCCCACAGAAACGCGCGCCGAAAAATTTCCGGTCTTGAAACGCTAACTCTACTAAACTACCGCAGTAATATCACGAGTTAAATTGACTAGCAATTTAACAAATTTTTGATGCTTATTCGCATCTTCGAAACGATCTTAATAATGATGAATAATATATTAAAATCTGTAAATAATTAATTCTTATTGCGAAAAAATATTACCTCGGCCGGGAGTCGAACCCGGATCTCTTGCAATCCATGCGAGCGTCCTGAGCCTTTAGACTACCGAGGCCTTAGTAATATTCTTCGCAATAATTGGCATATGAAGGAACAACGTCTCTTTAGGCGACGTAAATAAATAATATAAGATATTATAGGATATATTATAGGACCGTACATGTGATAACACAAACTATAGAATCGAAGCCTTACACGATCTAGCTGGATCTTATACAAAGATCCTTCATATGCCAATTATTGCGAAGAATATTACTAAGGCCTCGGTAGTCTAAAGGCTCAGAACGCTCGCACGGATTGCAAGAGATCCGGGTTCGACTCCCGGCCGAGGTAATATTTTTTCGCAATAAGAATTAATTATTTACAGATTTTAATATATTATTCATCATTATTAAGATCGTTTCGAAGATGCGAATAAGCATCAAAAATTTGTTAAATTGCTAGTCAATTTAACTCGTGATATTACTGCGGTAGTTTAGTAGAGTTAGCGTTTCAAGACCGGAAATTTTTCGGCGCGCGTTTCTGTGGGACTACATACGTAGTATATAAATTCACATAAGAATCATACAAGCATTAAGATCCAGCTAGACCGTATAATGATTTTAATATTCACAATTTTTTATTGTAGTATAATTTCTGTTATGTAAAACTTTATGTATTTCAGATTTTACCTCACAGAATAACAGAAAAGTCATTCTGGACAAAAGTACAAGAAGACAAATTAGCTAGTCCGGAAATATTAGATGGTCTTGTACAGAAGTTCGCTTCCAAACCGAGCGGGAAAAGAATAGACGATGTAGTTGATAAGTAAATTTCACTTCAGTAATTATCATTTTTTAAATAATATTACATAAGATATTAATAAATTTTTCGTACACGTAGGTCAGCCCCAACGAAAAAAGTAAAGGATCTCAAAGTTTTAGATAATAAGGCGGCTCAAAATATATCAATACTTCTCGGTGGGACACTAAAGCACATGCCTTACGTGGAAGTAAAAAGATGTTTATTTCGATGTGAAGGACCAGTTATTTCTGACAATATATTACAAGGATTAATTCAATACTTACCTCCGCCAGATCAATTGTCAAAATTACAGATGTACAAAGATCAATACGATGACTTGACTGAAGCGGAACAGTTTTGTGTTACGGTAATGTATTTGATTTTTGTATAATTTATTTCTATCTTTTTATTTCACTGACATCAATATTACAGATATCTACAATAAAACGGTTATTACCCAGATTGAGATCATTAAGCTTTATGTTGCGATATGAAGAGCTAATACAGGATATAAAACCTGACATAGTGGCAGCTACAGCAGCATGCGAAGAAGTGAAAAGTAGCAAAAAGTTTGCACGAATTCTTGAATTAATATTGTTACTCGGAAACTATATGAATTCCGGTTCCAAAAATGGCCAAGCATTCGGATTCGAGATTAGTTTTCTTACAAAGGTTTGTTCTGTAACATATGTCTGTATGTGTAGTATATGCATGAATCACTTATTGTCTCGATGCAGTTTCATGACTTTTTTTTTTAGTTGACCAGTACTAAAGATGTCGATAACAAGCAAACTCTTATGCATTATTTGGTGGATACGATAGAGAGAAAGTTCCCGGAATGTCTCAGCTTCATTGAGGAAATAGCACATGTAGACCGTGCCAGTCGAGTGTCTTTAGAAAATGTTCAGAGAACATTATGTCAAATGGAGACCAATATCCGTAATCTCGAACAGGATCTTACGAATGCCAAAGTTCCACAGTGCGATGAGGACTTATTTATAGATGTCTTGAAAGTATCCTTCACTAATTTTTTGTTAATAATCATTAAATGTTCAGCGGATAAAATAGCTTAGTGAATGCTGAGTTATTTCTTATTAGAATTAGGTTCTACACTTCTCACTAAAGAAAACTAACAGCAAAAACCAATTATATTAAACAATCACTGAGCGTGCATTAAGCAATGGAGAGTACAAATTTTCAAAGGTTTTGTGACCATTCGAGGATTGTTTTCTTTCTATGTTTTCTTATATATTTTTCTTCGTAGAAACCGAAAATAATTATTATAATAACACCAAACTTAAGGAAAAATTGGTACATTGAAATATAGTGAATGAAATCTTTATTCGCATCGTTATAAAATCACTGTCGGTTATATTTCAATAATTTATTTATGAAGTTAATTCCAAATTGGATCGAATGCGAATGATATTGCATCACAAAACGCTAATTAGATTATATTTTTTATTATAACATTTTTCATCTCGGTACTGTTTTCCCCACTCCAAACGTTACGTAACACACCGATACCGATATTACAAATATTATAATATTAAAATATGTTATTATAATAAAAGATATAGTCTAATTAACGTTTTGTGCAATATTATTCGCATTTGATCCAATTTGGAGTTAATTTTATAAATAAATTATTGAAATATAATTGATAGTGATTTTATAACGATGTAAATAAGGATTTTATTCACTATATTTGAATGTACCAATTTTTCCTTAAGTCTGGCGTTATTATAATGATTATTTTCGGTTTCTAGAAAGAAAATAGAAGAAAAATATATAAGAAAACATAGAAATAAAATGATCCCCGAGTGGTCACAAAATCCTTGAAACGTGTACCTTCCTTTACCTACTGAACGTAGTCATTGATGACATTATTTGTTGATTTTGTGTTGATCAAACAAAAGTATTTCCTTAACGGAGTTACTTTATAGCCATTCGCCAAGAAAGCTAGAGAATCTTACGAGGTTCTGCAAAATATGTTTAAAAATATGGACACTTTGTACACGGACATCTCAGAATTCTTCTCTTTCGACAAGCAGAAGTACACTATAGAAGAATTCTTTGGCGATATCAAGACGTTCAAAGATGATTTCTTGGTAAATACGCGCTAATACTTCATGTCGCAGTCTATCCAATCGCTATCTAATGCGATTCTATATTCTCACTGTAGCAATCGCAAAAGGAGATAATAAAGCTGAAGGAGGGCGAGGAGAAACAGAGACGGACGAGAGAAGCACGCGAAAAAGCAGAAGCAGAAAAGGCGGCACGAGCTGCGCGTAAACGCGCATTAGTCGATATGAACGCACATGAGACTCAGGAAGGTGTTATGGATAGTCTAATGGAAGCGCTGCAGACTGGATCAGCCTTCAGTAGGCCAGACCAACGACGCAAGCGACAAACCCGCGTAGCTGGTGGTAAGTTGTATAGGACATACATCAGGAGACAAATGGTGAAGAACGACCAAGTAGCTCAAGCATATTTATTTAGTAATACTTTAGACAAATTTACTAGAAATAAGTTAATGCACGAATATGAAAATCTAACTTTAACTGAAATCGTGCGATGCCATATGCTCCCGAACAGGATTATGGATGAAGAAATATGCACGGCGGGCAATTCAATAAATTTCTTTACGCCGGAAAAAATTCAAGAAATCTACAAACGAATGCTAGACGAGGCGAAAAAGACGCCTAGGCAGACAAAGCATTCGTCCAAAATCACATTCTTTAAAAAAAAGAAACTGTGCAGTCGTTGTAATCGCGCGTATTACACGACGATGCCGGTATTCGACGAGACACCGAAAAGAGACGTTTCCCTAAAAACATTTAGAAACTTTGAATCCAGGAGATTTCATTAAGACTGACTGAGACTCTAGTCCATTAATCGATGGAGACGTCTCTGTTAATCGAGCGTGTATTCTTAGCCCGGTTAAGCAAAAACGCGTCGTAGTTAACAAAATACGCAAAAGGAACAGCATTGTGCGTCGTACTATATTGAATCGCAAACGTATACGTGCGAGCAATGCAAAACGCAGTAAACTTCATGCTTATTTGCAAAGTTTACCCAGTATGAGTATCATTATGCCATCAATTATCAATACGTCAGATATAGACATGAATTCTGTAAATCAAAAGATGTCAAAATCGATCGATGGTTTTCATACTAAAATACTTAAACCGGCCTTCACTCCGATGAGACTCTTAAGATCGAGAAATTTTGAAAACTTGAGACGATATGACGAAAATCAAAACATACAGGATTTGAAAAACTCAGGTTTTTTAAACTCGAGCATGTCTACTCAGTTTTCGAGTAGTGAGCATATAACTAAAACACAATCGCCACTAGTGACAGAAATAAGTAGTTATATTGTCGGAAAATAGCCCGCTGCATTTTATAAAATTAAATCTATTCGTATTGCTAAAAAAAGTTTAAATTTGTCCGAAAACTCTAGACAACTCGCAAATACATACAAGCAATTTGCTCCGGGGAAAATTGAAAAAACTAAAGGATAGTTCATGGAAGAATAAGTGGAAATTTTGGCAAACGCCGATAAATATTGTTTAATAGAATTATTTGCTGCTTTAGTATTTATACAAGACTAAAATGGAAAAACTGACGCGAGAGAAAAAAATATTTTGTAACTATTGTTGCGAAGAAACTTGTTCGAAAAAGCGTTACGATACATACTTTGAAAGTTATTTGATTTTTCCATTAAAATGTGCGATATTCTCGTGTTGTGGATATTGCAATAATATTTTTATGATCTAATATCGTGTAATTATATTTTTAAAATACAGTGTAGGAATCATTATTTTGCATTAGTCATATTAATGTCAATAATTTTTAACGTTTTTTTTTATTTATTTAAAAATAGCGGGACTCAACATATAATTTTGATACAACGTACAATACATAAATAAAACTTTCGTTTACCTATGGATTTGCAAATATATTTACGTATCGTGCGAACTATTCAAAACTGATAATTGTAATATTGTGATTTATAAAGAATTTAAAAATTTGAAATATATTATTGGTAATTATACCGAATAGGGGACCCTCCCTCCTATGACCTTGACATATGTTGTCAGAGTCATGACCCTGAGTAACCTCCAACAAGTTTTAGCCGTCGCTTGTCCTTCATTGAAAAGTTATTAACAAAAAAAGTTTAAGAAAAAACCTATACGATATCCCTTTTCGATCATATAAAACAAAAATTTTCTGCTTTAAAATATATTTTACAACTTTCCACGCAAAGCGACTCCCACCCCACTTTCTCCTATTTGGGGGCGCACAACTTTCATATTTTCTTATATAATTTTTGTTCTTAAAACAGAAAATTTTTTCCTGCTTTACTTTGCATACATGATTTACGATACATACCCATGGGTGTATAATAATCTAACCCTAACCAAACATGTATCGGGTTTGGTCAGGGTTAAATTATTATATTCCTATGGGTGTTAATAACCTAACCCTAATCAAACCCGATATATGGTTTGGTTAGGGTTAGGTTATTATTTACCGGGGTGATCCCAATTGACCACGGATCGATTGGACACTACCAATCACAGCGACCGGTGTTTAGGAGCTTTGTAGTCTCAAGCGCTGTGAGTGGTTCGTGTCCAACTGGGTGCCACCCTTATTTACCCATGTTTGGTTAGGGTTAGGTTATTTTATACCCATGGGTGTATAATAACTTAACCCTCCCCTTAACTACATATTTACCCAAATTTTCTGCTAAAGTGAACATGTGTTCGCGTGGAAAGTCGCGCGCCACTAGGCAATAGGTGGATATAGTTTAAAACAGTTTTTGATGTTATATGTAGCCGAAATAAGTTATTTTTTCAAATATTTTTTGGTAATAACTTTTTGATGAAGGACGAGCGACAGCTAAAACCTGCTGGAAGTTACTCAAGGTCATGACTTTGACAATATATGTCAAGGCCAAGGTTATAGAGGGGGGGGGGGTCCCCTATTCAGTATATTTACCATATTATTTTCATATAGCATATAAATTTTATATAATATTTTATTTGATTAATATGTCAAACTTTTTAAGTAAATGAAAACGAATATTTGTAATAAAAAGTCTTGAGTTTTATGTATGTATTTGATGCACAAAAATATATACTATTGATCTTGTAATCGTACTGAAGAAATTACGCAATAGTAAGATAAAAATAATAAAGTCAAGGTGCTTCTGTCATATCATTCCGATCACTTATATTCAAATTACAAAATTCAATGAGATGTGAGGTGAATGTGTAATTTTACAATTTTTTCTGTTACTGGTGTCATTATAATGTAATATTAAAATAAATTTTTTTGTTCGGTGTTTTGTAAAAATTTAAATGATTTTTATGATTATTTATCTATGTTTTGGTTATGTTATAATTGTTACAAATTTTAAGTGTGACACAAAAATCACTAACTTTTTGATGAAACATGTACCAAAGATTGTTTTGTACAAAAACATATATATATATATAAATTACTTGACTATTAATCTTGTTCTCCTTGATATGTTAAATGTTGTAAAGTAAATTGTACTATTTAATGCAAAAATGTATTGCTGGAATGTCGGTATATGATTAATGTATATAAAATATAAAGTTCCATTCTTCTTTCGCGTAGTAACTATCAAGAAAAACGTTTCACTTATAAAGCGCATAAGTTCTTTTAAAATACATTCCATTGATACAAATCCTATTATTCTCGAATAATATCAAGTCTATTGTAATGAGTTTAATTTTATTTTAATTTTACAGCGGAAAGGAGAGCGCAACTAAATAGGAGTCGATCACGTACTGGATTAGTCGGAACTGGCTTACTAGGGAGAGAACTTTCGACGTAAGTATTAATTGCAAAACGAATGCGCGAACGAGACACGCTCGAATAGAATGGTCGGTTTCTTACCTCCTACATATTACACGCAGATTATGAGCGAATAAATTATTTGTAAAACAAGTCAGAACTTTAAAGTAATAAATTGACAGCAATATGTGTTACATATTCATCAATTTATGAAAAATTAATAATGATTGCTGTCAATTTATTAATTTAAAGTTCTTACTTGCTTTACGAATAATTTATTCGCTTACCGGAAAACAATATAACGACCGTGTAGGAATATCTAATTTAAATTTTGTTAGTTATATTTAAAGATATAGAGAATGGACCACGGTGTAAGAATAATAGGTGATTCCACTTCGCCCATTTTTGCTCAGAAAAACTGTGACGAAATTAAGGCAGTTCAGACACGTAACACTAGAGAGCATTAATGTTCTGAGACTTAATGGCCTTTGCAATCTTTCCAATTCACAGCCGTTCAAGTGGCGTTTCTTTTATGATTAAAATCTCTACAGCATGTATCCTCTTCCACAACTTTCACGACCTTTCTAACTATCCCACCAATCATGTGTATAAATAAATGTACTAATAAATAATAATTATTTATTATGTTGTCACTTACCTTAATTTTACTCCTGTCTCTTGAAACTCCCCGGGAAAAAATGTTTTACATATAATTATATGTAAGTTTTTAATGTATATATAATTTTATATAATTATGTATAAAACATTTTTTCCCAGAGCTTATGAGGTTAGGTGTTAAAGTCACTAGATTAACAAAATACCGCGATGAGAAAATTCACTGAATTAGCATTTGGAGCCAAAATGGCGTCGAAGTGCTAATCTAATCTGATTCTGTTAAAAGATCGGAAATCTATACAGGGGTCTGGAAGAAGAAGAACCTGATTCTGTTATTATCGAAAATACCCGGTTGCTGTGTTGAAAATTGCAAAAATCGCAGCGAAAGAGACTGAAGTTTTGAATAACCGTGCATCATGGAGCCAAATGGCGGCAGTTCGCGGTACTTTGTTAATGTAGTGACTTTAATTAGGTGTTATATAAAGACCCTCTAATCAGAGTCGCGACACGAGGAACAGCTAATTTTGATTGGTCCGTCATTTTTCAGCAATTCCTGCCAATATTGTAGGAATGGGCGATGTGCGTATCGATGCGCTAAAAATCGTTTGCAAACTAATCTATTTTGTGAAAAATCAATTTTTCCAACCAAAACAAGTATAGAATGACAGAAATAGCGTTAATAGCATCTCCCCGAACGCACCTATTAAATAATAAAATAATTTATACTTATTAAATAATCATAATTGACATATAGAAAATAAATAGAACTTTAAAAAGACACAGAGTTGTCATATATTTTATTAATTTTCTTATAATGAAACTGTACAAATATGTTACTTAACCTCGCAGAAATATGTATTTTTCGTGGTGTCCAATTTTTTCCAACATTTGTCGCCCATAATGCTCGACGTTCAACATCACGCGGAAATATTTTCATTATGTAGCCTTCGGCTGCAGAATTATTGCAAAATGGGGCTGCACAACCAACCATTTTACAATAATTTTTAATAATGTTCAAAAAGTCGTACTATAGAAAGACGTATCTTACGAGATCACGATTCACACGAGAACTATGAAGGTTAGAAAGAGACACGATATATTCCTCTCTCTTTCCTGTGATTTTGCTGAAACTAGAGACTCTTAATATAAAGAGACTGTAAAGAGAGTTTCTAACTAGAGTCTCCGTTCCTCGTGTCGCAACTCTGATTAGAGGTCTCTAGTGTTATACAGGGTGTCCAGCGAGACTTTTCCAATTCTCCACAGGGAGGTAGATCGAAATAAATATAAAAGTCCTTAAAGCTTTGTGTCCACGATGCTAAAAATCGATCCGAGAACTCGGATGAAGAAAGAATTGACCAATCGCAATGGTCATGTGATCAAATTGTTCAAATGTGATTTGTTAATTTTTTCTGTCCGAGATCTCGGACCGATTTCTAGCATCGTGGACACAAGGCTTTACCGTTTAGCGATATCCTTAATAATAATCGAGATATTAAAGTTTGTAATTGTACTAATGAGAGCGTGCCGATAAAAAGAATAGAAAGCGGCTCCGGCCGCTTGAGGTATAGCCCGGCCCAGTTTGTCAAATGTCAAACGATGGATCCGCTGGCGGGAGAGGCAAAAGGGGAGCACGCCGTTCCTTAGTGTTCGGCATCGCCGCTCATACGTCTCATCGCACCGCACCAAAGGACTCACGCGATGGCCGCTACGCACATTAGCGATTACATTACATACGTATGTAATAATAACACTGCAAAAATAGGACAAATACAAACTATAATAAACTTCGATGAATAAAAATGTCGAAAGAAAGAAAGCGATAAAACCTATGATCTACGGAAAATCTAATTTCTATCGTAATCTGTCGCTTCTCTAAATCGAAAGGAAAAAATTTTAAGAAAATAGTATTTGAAAGAAATAATATCATTCTCCACTATTCTCTATCGTTTCCTGTTAAGAAAGTGTAATTTCATCGGAATACGATAAAATATCAATAAACATGTAATGTTTCATTACAAGTTTTGTTGGAATTTCTCTTTCTATGTATACTTAAAAAATCACTAAAAATCTGCCATAGTTAATAGTGTATTTACGGTAGTAGAAATTCTAAGCTCACTATCGCATAATTACCAAAAAAGCTCTTTGTTGTCAATAGTATTGTACTCTCGAGATGTAATTAATTATCGTAGGCGGCTCATCGTAATCTATCGTAATTAGATTTTCAGTGATTTTTTTCAGTATACATAAAAAGAGAGACTCCAACAAAACTTGCAATGAAACATTACGTCTTTATTTGATATTTTATCGTATTCCGATGAAATCATATTCCTAACAGGAAAGGATAGAGAATGGTGGAAAATTATATTATTTCTTTCGGATACTTTTTTCTTAAAATTTTTTCCTTTCGATTTAGAGAAGCGACAGATTGTGATAGAAATTAATTAGATTTTCCGTAGATTTTCATAGGTTTCATCGTTTTCTCTCTTTCGACATTTTTATTCATCGAAGTTTATTATGATTTTTAATAATATTTGTCCTATTTTTGCAGTGTTATTATTACATACATATGTATTATAATCGCGAATGTGCGTAGCGGCCATCGCACGAGTCCTTTGGTGCGGTGCGGTGAGACGTGTGAGCGGCGATGCCGAGCGCTAAAGGCCTTGGCACATAGAAAAACTTAAGACGTAAGACTTAAGCAGTAACGAAATCAACATGTTGGATTCGCTATTGCTTACGTACACTGAGAGAAAAATGTTTGGTATTTGTAACTATAATTACATATCACTATAATTATGATTATTACTGCTATAATAATAATAACAGTAACTATGTATATAGTTCTAGCAACAAATGGGGTGGCACCCAATTGGACACGGCTCAATTGGACATGAGCCACTCACAGCGCTTGAGACTACAAAGCTCCTAGGCACCGGTCGCTGTGATTGGTGGTGTTCAATCGAGCCGTGATCAATCGGGGTCACCCCCAACAAATGTATATAGTTGGCAACCTAAAATGACTATAATTATAATTGTTATAACCATAAAATAGTTGAAATTACCATAAAAATGATTCAAGTGACTATAATTTTATAGTTATATTTTGGGACAACCATAAAAAATATGGTTGTCCTAAAATATAACTATAAAATTATAGTCACTTGAATCATTTTTATGATGATTTCAACTATTTTATGGTTATAACAATTACAATTATAGTCATTTTAGGTTACCAACTATATACGTTTATTGCTAGAACTATATACATAGTTACTGTTATTATTATTATAGCAGTAATAATCATAATTATAGTGATATGTAATTATAGTTACAAATATCAAACATTTTTCTCTCAGTGTATGGTCTTACGGTCTCTATTGTGATTGGTCGATTCGCTTACTGCTTAAGTCTTACGCCTTAAGTTTTTTATGTGCCATGGCCTTAAAGGCCTG